TTCTCTCTGTAATGTCATTATATATCGACAAACACATGATCAGAGAGTGACTAAGCAGTCTAGATGTAAGACTTAGAAAAGAATAAATTATTTTTCATAATACTTCGTATACAAAAAAAAGGTTGTAATCTGAATATATGTTTAGGAAAATTTCGTTTCTTAGTGAGAAATTCCTCGTATAATTTCAATATTAAAATATCACTGGTATTTCCAGGAAGGAAAGTAGAAAAATTCCGTCGATACCAACGTGCAGTGGGCATGTTGGAGTACCAGCATCATAAAAAAAGTCCTTAAAAAGGTCTGCTAACACCTGATAAACTTCGTCAGCGAGAGTCCACTGTACGAAGAGCTTTGAATGGTGACTTTCCCGCATAGGTATCTGCCCCCGACCCTCCTCTAACGAATGGCGAAAACCGCAGGTCTAAATAACTTTCCAATCAAAAGTTACAAAGATTTCTTCCACCTGCCTTTTTTTTTATTTTGATAGTAGTACATCAAATGAATAAAGATATGATTATTACTTATGGATGTTTCGAATAAAAAATGAATATATCTTTTGTTTGTTTTTCAATATTTGACAGCTTGTAATATTCATATCTGTTCACGTTATCATAGTATTCCAAAATATAAATCAATATTCTTGATGAAAGAAAAGTAATATTCATAAAGACTAAGAATTATTTCGTTTGTAAATAGAATAAGTAAACAAAATATTGGGAGACGCGTCTTTTTGTGATATATTTGTTGAATTTAGTGTGGAAAATAACAGGAAATATGGGCTCTATGCGATCAGATCACACAGCATCCGTCTTAGCAAATGGAACAGTGTTAGTTACAGGTGGATACAATGGTGGTTTCTTGAACACTGCTGAGTTATATAATCCATCATCAGGTACTTGGACAACAACAGGAAGTATGGGCTCTATGCGAGCAGGTCACACAGCATCCGTCTTAGCAAATGGAAATGTGTTAGTTACAGGTGGACACAATGGTAATTACTTGAATAGTGCTGAGTTATATAATCCATCTACAGGTAACTGGGCGACAACAGGAATTATGGGCTCTGTGCGATCAGATCACACAGCATCCGTCTTAGCAAATGGAACAGTGCTAGTTACAGGTGGATTCATTAGTAGTTACTTAAATAGTGCTGCATTATATAATCCATATATAGGTAACTGGGCGACAACAGGAAGTATGAGCTATACACGAGGATATCACACAGCATCCGTCTTAGCAAATGGAAATGTGTTAGTTACAGGTGGATACAATGGTAATTACTTGAATAGTGCTGAGTTATATAATCCATCTACAGGTAACTGGACGACAATAGGAAATATGGGCTCTATGCGATCAGATCACACAGCATCCGTCTTAGCAAATGGAACAGTGTTAATTACAGGTGGATCCAGTGGTAGTTACTTGAACAGTGCTGAATTATATTAAGAGGGATTTTATTATGAAGCATTTTCATTTTATGAATTGACTGATAAAAATTCATGTTGTAAACCACTTCTTTATTCATTCCTGCTTTTGCTTATTTAACTTCGAATTGCATTATGATATCATTATTGTTTTTTTTTCAAACATTCGTATGCCACATTCCATTTACTTATTTATTTTGTCATTATTTTTTATATTAACCATAANAATTCGCTGTGAGACAACTCTATCACCGTCAAGGTAATGAAAAGATAGGATTATTATTCAAATAACTAATTTTTTCTTCGCATATCGTTTAGATCCTATCCGTTCAATTGTTACTTCACATGATAACATGAGTTTATTTACTCTTTTATTTAATAATCAGAATAATTATCATTATTATCTCTTTTGCCTTCTTTTCTAGATATATATACAGCCCTGAAGAGTACTATCTTATAAAAGATACGAAACGCGTCGGTGAACAAATTCTGCATTTTTCCATATATTTACAAAGCACATTAGTTCAAGTTCAAGATCTTCATTCATTCATTCCGACAAAAGAGCAACATCGATTGCTGAAAAGCAAGAGTTTGACATAAGCAGATTACACTTGTCTTTTCGTCAAGAGATACGTTTGATCTGTTCTCAGCTGGTTTACACTTAATGTTATCTCCGGCATCAAATTATATTTTGAATTCATTTCTTCTGATTTGATCCAATACAAGTCTCAACTTATTCAACGATATATACCAAGAATGAATAATAATCAAGTACCATTACAGCAACAACAACAACAGGCACCACCAACACAATTACCTTTAGGTAGTGGTTGTGTTTATGGGGGCAATCAATATAATTATCAAAATGGTTACCAAAATGGAGGCAATCAATATGGTTATCGAAATACAGTGCTGTTCAAAATTATAAGAACAAAGCTTTTTTTTATGTATTAACAAATTTTTATCTCCCTTTCCTCTGCTTAAATTGATCTCTCAAATAGTATATATGTATTCGAGTATGGTCTATCCTAATATTCCCTCATCATCTTTATAAACCTATTTATTTCGATAAAAAAATTACAGAATAAAAAAAATGTTTTTTTGACCTGTTCAAAATTATAAGAACAGATAAATGTTTCTATAGTCTATTTCGAAAAACGAAGTCAATATTTTGATGACGTATTTCCCTTGACACGAATAGATTGTTTCATTCGTCGGGGCATTGATCGAACTAAATCTTCACATGTTAAAGGTGGTATTTCTTTCCATAATTTTATAATGGCTTGCTGAAGATCATTAACATTGGTTACACGATAACTGATCAGCTTTTTGTCAATAATATCCCAAAGATTTTCAATTACATTGAAGTCTGGTGATACAGCTGGCCAATCCATAAGATTAATTTTGTTCTTTCGAAACCATTTCATACTATATTCGGATTTGTGGCATGGTGCATTATCTTGAACATAATACCATGGGTCACTTCCATCGAAATTTTTTTTAATATATGGTGGTAATTCATTTTTAATAGTATCGATATAGTTGTTGCCATTCATTCTACCATCATAAAATACCAAAGGACCAACTCCTTTGGCTGTCATGGCACCCCAAACACTAATTGAACCACCACCACCTTGAACACGTGGTCGAAAACAAAATGGTTTATCAGCTTCTGTTGGTAGACGACGTACATATGATCGATTTTTTCTGTTAAAAACCTCGAAATGACACTCATCCGAGAAAATAACAGTTTTCCAGTCACTGAAATTCCAATCAGAATATGTTTCAGAAAAACGTAATCGAGAAGAACAGTGACGTGGTTTTCGATAAGGTTTTCGTTTTGTAGTGTAGCTTCTGTATCCAGCATTTAATAAGCGCCGACGCACCGTGCATGGGCTAATCGACTTTCCATTCGATAAAAACCAATCAGATGCTAATTGTCGACTACTTTTTTCACGATCTTTCTTCATAATATTCAATAAATAACGATCTTCTTTGGGCGTTGTCGACTTTTTTCGTCCTTGACCTGGGCGATTTTTTAATGATAATTTTAATTTGTCTTTTTCGACAACATTACTAATACAACCATTTGAAACTCCGAGTTGTTTTCGAATATCTGAATAAGATAAACCAGCTTGAAAAAGTGTAAGTACTTGTATTTTTTGATAAATTGTGACCCTCATTCGACCCATAATAAAAGATGTTAAATGAATTACGTTCAACGTTTGAAAAATACACGCAAATAGGGAAAATAATTACTAAGAAGGAAGAAAACATGTGCCAACATGACCTTTTACTTTTGTTTTCTTTACTGTCGTTGGCAATGTAAAATAGACTATAGAAACATTTATCTGTTCTTATAATTTTGAACAGGTCAAAAAAACATTTTTTTTATTCTGTAATTTTTTTATCGAAATAAATAGGTTTATAAAGATGATGAGGTGATATTAGGATAGACCATACTCGAATACATATATACTATTTGAGAGATCAATTTAAGCAGAGAAAAGGGAGATAAAAATTTGTTAATACATAAAAAAAAGCTTTGTTCTTATAATTTTGAACAGCACTGTATAAAGATCCTGGGGGTGGGGACGGGATGGTGAAAGAACTTGAAGACATTGCACCTCCTGAAAATGAAGGTTCTCACGATATCTTGTACTCAGAGGTACAAGCAGCAATAAGTTCATTAAAAAGAAATAAGAGCCCAGGATCAGACGGGATAACAGCGGAGATGCTGCAAGCTGGAGGCGAACCGCTATCACGCGAAATCCACAAACTCTGTAACAAAGCATGGCACGAAGGTACAATTCCAGAAGAATGGGGCAAATCTATATTGGTACCTATTCCGAAGAAAGGAGACCTCAGTAACTGCTCAAATTATCGAACGATCTCTCTTATTAATCACACAGGAAAAGTACTAATAATAGTACTACTAAACAGATTGAAATATCAACTGGATCCATACCTATCCGAAGAACAGGCAGGGTTCAGAAAAGACAGGAGTACCGTACACCAAATTTTAACGCTTAGACTATTGGCCGAAAAAGCAAAAAGACAGGGCAAAAAAATATACAACTGCTTTATAGATTTTCAAAAAGCATTCGATACGATCAAACATAAAATTATTTGGGCTATGCTAAGATCCTATGGTGTCGATGTAAAGATGATCACCTTGCTACAAAACATCTACGAGAAGTCGCAGTCAGCTGTTCGAATTGGTACAGATTATGGAGAGTGGTTCCGAACAGATGTAGGTACTAGACAAGGCGACCCTCTGTCACCACTCCTCTTCATCGCATATCTCGAGCGAGTAATGGATCAGGTGAGGCAGAGCACCTGCGGAATCAATATCAGCGGAACAGTAATAAATAACCTAAGATTCGCCGATGATATTGACCTCATTGATGAAGACAATAGCTCACTTCAACGCCAAGTAGAGCTAACCAAAACAGCTGCTGAACAAGCTGGACTGATCTTGAATATAAATAAGACCAAAACGATGGTTTTTGGAGACAGGAATATCGACAACAGTATGCAAGTAGCGGGAAGCACCATAGAAAACGTAGAAAAGTTCGAATATCTAGGCAGTTTGCTGACATGGGACAATAACTGTTCAGAGGAAATAAAAAGGAGAATAGGAAAAGCGACAGGTGCAATGGCTTCTCTGAAACACATATGGAATAGCAAGAAATTGAGGATAGAAAACAAGCTAAGAGTTCTAAACACATGTGTGTTCAGCGTCCTATTATACGCATCAGAGACTTGGACTCTAAAAGAAGCAGACAGGAAAAAACTATTGGTTTTTGAAATGAGATGTTATCGACGAATCCTAAAAATAAATTGGCAAGATATGGTACGAAACGAAGATATCCGAAAAAGGATATCACGAGAAGAGACTATAATAGACACCATCAAGAAGAGAAAACTCCGATTATTCGGCCACATCTGCAGAATGGACGATAGTAGATTACTGAAACATTTAGTATTTGGTAAAATGGAGGGCAAGTCTCGACGGGGGCGTCCATGCAGAGAGTGGCTGGATGATATAACAGAGTGGTGTCAACGCAGTGGACAGGAGCTGTTCCATCTTGCGCAAGACCGACAAGCGTGGAAGAATCTGATCCCGTAAAATGGTTGGCCCCAACGGGCGCTAAGCCTATGGGACATGATGATATATAAATAATGACATCATCTAAGACTTGCTTTGATGGTCTAATGCAGAGAAAAAGAGCGAAAAGCATGACTGACCACGATAACTACACCACATATATATCATTATGATAGGTATATTATGATACATACGCAGCTGTTTCTGATGGCTAATGGATAGCGTTTCACTGTTCAAAAACAATCAGTGGCCACTATAGTGGCCACCCGTCCTGAANTCAATTTAAGCAGAGAAAAGGGAGATAAAAATTTGTTAATACATAAAAAAAAGCTTTGTTCTTATAATTTTGAACAGCACTGTAATAATGAGTGTACACATCAGATTTTCCTGAGTCTATGCATGTCCAAGCCAGCATTGAGTGGCAATTTGTGCAACATTTTCGACGATCAACGATGTGAAACTGACAGTGCGAACAGCTTCATTCAAGTTGTGAAGAAGACATAGTGCAAAAATAGTTCGAAGTGCCCGCAATCAAATGAAAGTACGATTAAAGAAAAGAGAAAACGAATTGATACGACAAAGAATTATAGTTATGAAGAGTCTAGGGGTGGACCATTTCCGTTAATTTGAAATTAACGCAAATAGTAACCCGTTAAGCGTTAATATTAACGTTAACGGTTTACGTTAACGTTAATATTAACAATTAACGGGTTATACTTAACCGTTAATTTCCACTTTATTAAGTGATTAACGTATAAGAAAGATATTCTATTGCTTCAGAGGCCATTGTAGATCCATCCTGACTCTGCAAATATAGATTCATGAACGAAAACTCAAAGGCCCATGGTTAATATCGCGTAGCCGGAGTAAAACGCTGCCGACCTGTAAGAAAATGAACAACCAATACCGATCTCTCGAGGCCAAATACAATCCGAGGTCAAAAAAACATCCTTATAAAAGGCTTCCGCAGCCGATTTCAAGCGAAAATAGGCTTTTGAAAAAAAATCGCGGTCATCGCTGATTGGTCGAACTTGACCAATCAGAATTCGAGGTCAAAAAACATCCTTATAAAAGGCTTCCGTGGCCGATTTCGAACGAAAATAGGTTTTTGAAAAAAAATCGCGGTCATCACTGATTGGTCGAAATTGACCAATCAGAATTCGCGGGAATGCACGTTGGAATAAAGGCTATTTCCAAGACTGGTTCCCACGGTAGCATTAACCAGAGAGGTGAGTATCTTACCAGGGTACATGTAATTATTGCTGGGTCGTATAGATAATTAGTTGTCAGAAAGGATCATACATTACGATTATTTAAGCGTTTATCAGTTAACTAAGTGGAAATTAACGGTTAACGGGTTCCGTTAATTAACGGCCGTTAATTAAGTAGAATTAAATTAAATGGTCTACCCCTAATCGAAGGTACCTAAGAGGAATATTCAAGGAAAATGGAAGTCAATAGAAAAATGTGAAACCTATGCAGATCGATTCAGTTTTGTGTGCTGATTCCGAATATGACATTAGTTTTCGTCTTTATTTGTGTTTTTGAAGCTCAAATATGGGAAATACCTCTAAAAATCGCTAGTTTTACCAGTATCGGTCCTGACGACCCCATGAAGGCAGATTGTTTTCAGGGTCATTGTCTTTGAAAGTTTGAAGGTCTCGATGAGTTACATCGATGATAAAAGAATGGCTCCGGTTCTGCTAGAAATAGCTGAGATATGAGGTACGCATGAAGTCCACGTAGTACCGTCCCAAGGCATATAATAGGCCCTTTTTGTTACCGATCGGGCCAGCTAAAAAGTTGCACCGATCGAGCTGAAATTTTGAGGAACGACTACTGGCGAACAGGCCTTCAATATCTGAGGGTTCTGGAGGAATTATTCGCACTTTTTCCAATAGGCCAAATTACGATGAAAATGTCCCCGGTTCTTCGTGTCTATGACATCTTTTGCTCTACTACCCGATACCTATCTACCCTGAAAACTGCATAAAGTTTCGGCCAGCCGTTCCTTAGGAACAATGGAAAAGGATCGTCTCCCCTTAAAGATCCATCGATAGGTAATAAGTACTAGTGAAAGAGCGCCCAGAGCGATTTTTAATAAACGCCTCGTCAGACACTAACGTACGTTACATTAGATGTCTTACTCCCATTTGCTAAAAAACTTCACGCACAGAACACAGTTCTACTAAAAAATTCCAACGTAGTATTTGAATCTTTTCTAGTCACAAACACCAATAAACATTGTGAATATTCGACAGGCAACGCGTCGTGGTAGCTATTCATCGTTATCCTGCGAGTCAAATAAAGAAGATAAAGTGCCTTTGCGAGACGAAGCATACAGAAAGAAAGGAAGGTGCTTTCGCGATATAAAGTATAGAGAAGAGAAAAAGAAGTGTTTTTGCAGTGTGACACACATATCAAAAGTTTAATCGGCTCGATAGATAAAGCCCCGGTAAACCGAAAAGTATGGCGCTTTTTTCTTCACCAGCAACCAGCTCAACTGTCGTTAGAGAAGTGAGCGACGAAAAGTTCCAAAAAATTTATTCACCTGTCGATGGTGCTGCGCAACTGCTGAATGACGGGCGGACTTTCGAAACAATTAAACGCATCACCTATATGTGTGCTCTTGGTAAAAATTCATATTCAACAGGTATTTATCGAATTCGAATGAAGCTGCATTACGGGAATGCGTTCATTGGAGTTCGGTCCCGTCATTTACAAGTCGAACCAAGTATGGCTTCCCTTTATCAAGAAACCCCTTCTACATATGGATGGTTCACGAACGGCGCCCGCACGGTTGATGGGCACGCGGATAATAGTGCAATACGTGTACCTAAAAAAGAGGATACTATGATTGAGTTAACATTGTATTGCGATGAACACCGACTGACAATCGTTTTCAGTGGGGACAACAGTCAACGGGATGAAATGAAAGTGGATGGTCTTAGCGCTCCTTTTCCCTGGTGTTTGTTTGTTCAACTTAGTCGCATCGGTGCCTGTATATCAATCGTATAAATACTTCAGTTTATAATCATGACTACGTACTTCTCTATATGACCTACATTTTAAAACAGAACATTGTAAAAAGTGTTTTATGAAACTAAGAAAGGATCGGCGCGCGAGCATAGCTTCCGGACCTTTGCTTGTTTCGTAAAAGGAAGGTTTCGCGGGAAACTGGGTGTGAGATGAGCTGCCATGACGCGTTTCGGGTGAGGGTGTGGGTGAGTGTTACAAAGGTCCCTGTTATAATACGGATGAGGTATCCAATTTCTGTTCATTTATTTAAGTAAAATCGAGTTGTATATATACTGATGGAAAACAAAGAAAAGAAGAAGAAAGTGAATAAAGAAAAAGAAAGAATATCCCTGGACATCTTCTTCGTCCAAAGGTTACATGAACAGAGGAGATAAAGAGAAAGAAGAGATATGCACACAATGTGTGCATACTGTTAGAGTGCTCTCTAACAGTGAGGGTGTGTGAGGGTGAGGGTGTGGGTGAGTTTGAAATGACGATGTAAAGGAATTCAATTAAAATAATCATTTCATGTGTCCACGAAAACATACAAGACATTTCAGTAGATGTATCCACAGAGACATGCTTGGATAAATACGAAAAACGTATCCAAAAAGATCATGAAATCAAAGCAGGACTCGAACCCACATCTTCCGATAGCCGGTGGGAACATGCTGGTTGAAGGCTTTTTTTTACTTCGATTCTTTGTTTACCGCTGTAGGACCCTTCTCACCCTAAGCTGTGTTTGAATATTGCTCATGGCTGGTATCTTTCGTTTGTCTATATCCGGTTTCGACCGTGCTCACTGATCTCATCAGATGGCTTTTATCTTGTTGACACTGTTAAGTTTTTTTCATTTTCTGCCGTTCAAACACTTTAGTGTCAAGTTTTGAGAGCTACCATGACCGGTTGTTCATCGGACTGCTGTATTGAGATATCGAACTGAGGCTTGCTGACTTTGACTACAGGTAATACATGCCATTCGTATATTATGTTTTGTGCTAACGATCTTACGAGGTTTGCAGGGATAAGGATCCTTACACAACTGCTATTTGAGTGTAAGTCTCACCACGGATGAACGCCGGTCGACTGTTTTCTTAGTCCTTGTTAGCGTTGTCTTCACCTGATATGGTACTCACCATAAATAAATATAATCTATCGGACGACGAGCTTGAACATTGATGTCAGGGGATATGCACACGTTTTCTCATGATATAGCTAATCACAGTTATCATGAGTTCGCTTTCTCACAGACTATTCGAGTTTGATGGTCGATGCATATGAACCATGCTTTTACAGGATTTTTCAAAACAAAGAAAAGTTTGATTTATTTTTCCTCTTTAAATGATAAACAGACAAAAAGAATGATACTAAGTGGAGCTTGCTCTCCCAGTTTTCATGCGGGTCACGAGTTCGTCGATACTGTCGCACCTGTGAAGAAAGAGAGTAGGATTGAGCTCAGCTGTACCACAAGGCTAGTTATGTCTAAGACAATTGTGTGAATAACACTTACGTTTCGTCGATGATACGAATGAACTTCTTATTCGGACGAGGTGGAGTATAATCCACGCGTAGGTCGATCATAGACAAACGTATAATCAACGATGCATCGTGTTCGTCAATGAGTGCTTCCCAGTCGAAGTTGATTGGCCGACGGGAAAACGGCAACACGAACTAAATGGACCAATATCAAGATGATTTTCTTCGCTGTAGGGTGTAAATCCTACTCAAGCAGGACATGTATCGCTTACCTTCTTCTCTTTCGTGAAGACAATATGAAGAAGAAAATCCTTCTTTCGAATGATTTCCTGTATCTAGATGCAAACCAAAAAGATCAAGTGTTGTGTAGGCAATACCACAGCACGTATGCATACCTCCCGTTGTTTATGGAGAGCAGCGATTTTTGTTCGAACCGATTCGATATCGTAAGATGACATTGTCGAGTGCTCGATGAAAATGATAGAAATCTAGAACACGAAAAGTCATACTTTCTTCTCGGATGTGTGAGAAAAATCTTGTTCGTCACACATCAAATATCGTTCTTTATTTTTTATGGAAGACAAAAAAAATAAACAAACGATATCATCAATATCATTCTTATAACAATAAACGTGACACACCAAATGTGATAACAACAACCAAAGTGACAATCATAAAGGCGACAATTTTGTATAATTGCCGGATCTGATGCTCCATGGTTTTTTGATCGAGGAAGTGACTAGTGCCTTGCTTCGAGAAAGCCATTAATTGTCGTTCGACATAGACAATTCGACGTTGCAGTACATTCATGGCCACGTTTTGCTCCGAGAACAATTTCTCATTTGCCATGACCTGTGTGTCCAATTGTTTGACATGTCTGGATACATCCAGCTGATGCTTCACAACATTTTCTACAAGAATTCAAATGAGACAGAAATCGTTCAGCAAGTGTTATGCAACAAATAAACACGAGCACATACGTAATCTATCATCGAACCAGCCCGATCGTGAATTGCGTGACATTATTCAGTCGATGAATATGCAAAAAAAGGAATTCAATCTGAAACATATATTCAAACGATTATATTCAAGTCGGAAAACCCCATATGAACAGATCATAGAATTAAAACCTTCGACATTCAAGTGAATTTTCATCCTACGTGGCCTTTGCGATTTCCACTAAAGCTTTTGACAAAAAAAGCAGCAACAGCAACAGGAGCATATTCATCAATCTGACGAATTGCTGCTGCTACTGCACTCTGCCTTCGATTTCTACCATTGCCCTTTTAGCCGTCAGCAACAATGACGTTTCCATCCGACACTACGTGGAAGTAAGGGTTGGCTTTTGTCGGACATAACAATAGGAAAAAAGAATACTTACCGATGTTGGGCAGTGCATAGGAAACCATTATTGAGCCATACGATTCCATTCCAGAACTATCTTCATGGTATCATATGAGCACGTTTACATTTTGTGGAGACTTTTTTTTTCTTTTATTTTCTGGCAACAAACAAACAAACATGTAAAGGAAACAGACGACTACAGTGTTCATTCGTTTAATTTTGTTCGCCGACATCCGAGTCGCCAGCGTCACTATCACCACCATCGTCATCGTCATTGTCCCGATAATTATCATTGCCAGTGGCATTGTCACTATCACCATCATGATCGTCGTCAGCATTTGCAGACTCAGATGACACACGTTTACCTATTCTTTCGAACGGTAAAACATTGATGTCATCGTTATCATCTGTTGTTGACGTGATGACAGGATCATTGACCAAAGTCCATTTCCCGTCGATTGATCGTCGATAGTAATGATCATACCTATATTCGACGTGTTCAAGACGTGTCATGTCTACACATACGAGCAACTTACTCAACTAGATCGTTATTAATCAACGGATCGTCAACAGCAGGATGCGATTCCGGTAATAGTATTTCTGGTTCTCGACGTGGACCAAGAAGTGGATAACAAGATGCAGAAGCTGGATTTGCCACTGCAGCAGCACAATAACGCTGAACACGCGCACCAGGATAATACGCTGCATCAAATGCAGCAACAATTGGAAAGCGCCGTGCATCGAAAGCATCACGAGCATCGACAGGCACGAAATCCGAAGAAGATGAAACGTCATTTCTTCTAGCAGGTTGATTTTGTGACATTCTGCGTTGCTCCTATGGTGAAAAAGCATCGTAACAAAATAGATAGTCAGTAAACAGTTGACATGTGTCTTCTGCTTACAGCTCGTCTCAGCGCCTGAACAAACGCTGCCGTCACGATATTTCCCACACTATCACGATATGTATAGAACATATTTCCGAATCACAGAGATATTTGAATTTAGTTACAATCTAAAAATACACGCCTGTATGAGTAGAAAGACACGATAACATGCACAATTGTGTATTTTATTTTCAAAGACAATCGAACACACACAAAAAAAAGACAGATTTTGTCACATTGCATCCCTATTCTTCATTCGTTTGTCTATCGACCATCAATGACTATCATGTGTAACTGTCAAATTTGACACTATGTCGATGACTTTGGAATAGCTGAACATACCACTGGAATGCATATAAACTATTGAGGTTTCGACCTTGCTCAAGGGTCTCTTCAGGTGGCTTTATGTCTTGAGTATCATATAATATTCACATAGCACATATGTTGATCATACTACATGTGAATGTTGATACTATTCTATGACTCTCTCTCATCACCCAGAGAGTCATAAACAAGAGCTACCACGACGACAATCACCAAGTCAAACGGTTGTTAAGGTCAATCTTTCCTTGCTCCATGTCTTGCAACGATATGTCATGATGTGGCGAAATCTCATATGACAATGAAAATTCGTTCGTATATGTGTAGAACTTTTACCGGTTTCAACCTTGCTCACACAGGTCTCATCAGATGGCTTTTATGCATTGTAATACTAGTATGTGAACAATCTCTCTCTCTTTCTCTCTCCTAATGTTTACGTATACTAGCATTACATGCATTGAGATACCATGACCGGTTGTTGTACCCTTCGTCTCAATGTGACGTCTACTCTGCTCTCTACCTATGTAGCTGACATTCAAATATTATGTTCTAACTATTCTGACAAAATGACCTCAAGATCAAGGATCAATAGACAAGCACTACTATATTCGATGACTCATAGCTAGTCGAAGGAAACCGGTCGGCCTTAATATGGTCCACAACAGTGTTGTCTTCACCTTATCTATTTAGAGCGGCCTCTCTGTCTCTCTCACTCCGTAACATGAAAACAGACTCTAACTGAAGCTATCCATATTTAACAATAAACAGACTAGACATGAATACATGTATGTTTCTATTATTCTTTTTTTAATTAAACGAATCAAATGGATACAATCACGAAGAGAAACAACGAAAAGTTCATTACATGATCGACCATTTGATGTCCACCTCCAAGACGAGCCATCATTTATGCTTGCTTGATGGTGGCGAGCGAGAAGCCAATCTGTTTGCTTCATCTTTGGCCTCTTGCTCGCTTTGTTCGCGCCGTTCACGTGCATTGCCAACATCAATCTGCACGAGAGCAAAACTCGATTAGTTTTCGGAAGTTCTCCTCATCTTCACATCCATCCTCAAGATCCCTTTCATTCTACTTACCCATGTCCACGGCATTTCTTCCTCCTCCATGTAAACATTGATGTACCAATCAATGTAATCCTCTAGCAATCGAGGATTACATAGCTGTGGATTTGGAGGTGTTAGGCCAAAGTATCTTCGATACATTGGCGAATAGTAGAACTGACTGTTGGCAGTCATCAATGGAGTCTCCTGTCGAATGAGAAATAACAGATGAACTCCATTTGTACATACATATCAAACAAACGCTAATCTTACCGTTGAGGCGTCTTGTTTATTTCCATTTCCTTTACTTGAAGGCACCTCACCTTCAAGAGTCGGATCTGGCGACACTCTTGACTTTTGTGGCACATCTTCGTGCCGTTTGATCTCCGAAGCCGATCTGGTGACGAGCTCATTATCCACCGAAGATTCACTATCATCTTCAGTGATTTTCGCAATCACGCTCTTCCATTTTGCTGTTCTCTTTGGTATGAGACCATCGAGAAGTCGCTTCACTAACGGCTTTTCCTGAGTCGTTTTCTTGCGGCTAGGCATGTTCCACGAATGAACGAATATACTTGAATCTGAAGTATAAAACAAACACATACAATGTCTTTCTTCTGTCTACCAAATGATCCGTCTCAATTAGAATTAGGCAAGTTTATTTCATGCATACACATGACAAATAATTATACAAAAACGAACGGTTACAATTCGAAAAACCACGACAACAACAAAAACCATTTCTTCTTCTTCTTCTTCTTCTTCCCCTCGTCCTCCTCCTCCTCACATATTCTGTCCATGTTCCGTTTCCGACGATGTTTCCATCTTAGTCAAGAACGATGCAGGTGGCTTCTTTCGAACAAAGAGTTCATTCAATGATGGATTGCACAGTGTTGTAATCATGACACGTACATCTCTCACAAGTGAATCTTTATACGCATAATATTTCGTCCATAATTGTCGAAAATGACGTTTGAATTCTATTGACGGACCACTTTCGAACGTGTGTGGCACCATCAAAAGCTTCTTATTCCATTGTTTCGTTGCCAATTGCTCACAATGCTTCAATAACTCATCACCCGTTTTGTCTTCTACTAGTCGTTGATACTTCTTTTCACGTCGCGTAGGCAAATGTAAGAATTTCTGATGCAATACTTGATATTGTTCAGCATCAAGTTTCGTGAAGACTTTCGGTACCTGATTCAATCGAAAGAATCGATCGAAGTGATACTTAACAAACCGTGGTGGATATCCATTGAGAAGAAGTTTGATTTCAATGTTCAATCGCTCATTATCAAACGCATACACATCGGAACACAATCGAACAGCATGCAACAATGCTTCGTACGGTATGTTGACGTGTACATGACGTGGATGATCAGATGTATATGGCAGTACATAAGGCTCAGCTGCTGGCTTCCGATAAACAGCTGTTTTCAATAATCCATGATGATTTTCCACTTGAACATCAAGAAATTCGACTTTGAAGCCAATCGAATATGTGATTCGTATGTTCTCACCATCCTTGTCATTCATCCAATCGAGCATACGACGGATTGCATCAGTCGACATATTTGATGACATGAATACATCATCGATATATCTACACAGATAAAAAACAACAACAACGTAGGACATATGAATACGTCTACTTGTCTAACTCACTCTCACTCTTACCTTCCATAGAGCTCTCCTTGTTGCGTTTGCAATTCGACTAACGGTTGTTCCCATGCTAACATGTAAACATTGGCTAATGTCATCGTAAATGCTGAACCCATAGCTCCACCTTTGATTTGTCGATAATATTTGTTATTATAGACAAAATAATTGGTGTCCAGTACGATACGAGCCAACTTCAAGATTGTGTCCACTGATAGATTACCGATTTTGCCGTTGGATGCTGTTTTGACGAGAAATCGTCCTAACGTTTCCAATGCTCCATTCCTCGGTATCATCGTATACAAATCAGTCACATCGAATGTGACGAACTGAGTTGTTGGCAAGAGATGGCCATTCTGTTGATAGGCTTCTAATTGTCGCACCAAATCAATACCATTGATGAACGTTGTTTGTCTGGCAACATGATCGAACAACGGTCGCAAAAGACGATCCAAAAAGTGTGATATATTATTTGTCGATCCCAGAGATCGGTTACTGAGTAAAAT